TTACTTTTTTGTCTTAAATTTCTATCAACAACAAATCAGCAGACGGGAAGGAAGCGCTGAATCCATTGGTCAGCTTAATCTGCGCTGTCACCTAATTGTCCATTGAGTAACTGTGGTGATCAAAGCGTTCAACAATATCCCTGAACATTTTAGCCAGCGAACTGGGTTTGTTCCCGTTACTACGACTCTAGCAACACTAATAGCGATTTCCGACGGGGCAGGCCAGCGCGCGCATGACGTCTTCAAGGATTTCGGTGCCAACTTTCAGGCTAAAGCTCGCCAAGGTCTCAAATGTTGGCGGTAGCGACTACAGCAAGCGCTTAAGGGTGAATCTGTGCCGATTCCGTTGCAAACTACACGACTAAACGACCAGATATTCCCGAACTTATCAAGGCTAAGTTTAAGTTCTAGTGAATGTAAGCACGTTTCCCTTAAAGTGGTCACAGCAACGGAACCGAACACGCCAAGACCAACGCTACATTAAAATAGCTGCCGCAGTCGCAGCCCGCTGAAAAGAACGGAAACAATGACCAAGCTTTTAAATTAGCCTGCTTCGATATTATGTAAATATTTTTCAGCGGCGACTCTGCCTGTCATTGTAACATTGCCAAGTAAATATTTTTTTTGCTTGTAGTTCTCCTCTCATTAACTAGTACTGGTTACATTGACCAGATGAAACCAACACTAGTTAAAACCAGGAAGACCAACTACTACCACCGAGCTCCTTTCACTTTTAAGGAGCTCGCTGATAACAGGGACGGGAATTGAACCGTATTTTCTCGAGCCGCTAGATCCGCGAGCTGAACTTCCACTTTGCCATACTTACATTATCCAACGTGTTTGATTGTTCCACTTTGTGACAGTCGGAATCTTAGCGTACTCTGAGCGTGTCCGGCGATTTGTAGGCCTTAACGTATCGTAAGAAGCGCGAACCTTTGCTAATCAACTGTCTCGCGCTCTACTATTAGTTAAATAACGGGTAGATGATGGTGTATAATCCCTAAAAATGGGGGAGACGCGGTCGGGTTTTCATGTCTTATGCGCATTCCTTTGACTGCTTTGTCGTGTAAGCATAACTAAGAAGCACTCGGCCGCACACACTGGTTCGGACCTTAGCGTTGGTCAAAAAGTTTCGAGAAATCGATAATTATAAAAGTAAAGATTTATTATTTTAACCTAGCTGCTCTTATGCTGTTCCATAGGCCTTTCGGGGAAACCCGCCCCAGTTAAATTCCTAGTGGGGGCAAGTTTTCAATACTACATAAAAAAAATTGTTGAAAAGACCCAAACACTCTTAAACATCGTAACACAAGGTTTTATATATATATGTACCAGATAGTTCGTAACTCGAAATTCACAGGAGAAATAAATATGTTATTAAAAAATATTTAGCTGACTTATACATTTTCGTACTTATATCCGTCATCAATTTACAGACAGCGACCCTGTCAGTCAATTCGGTAACTTGGACCAAAAGCTCAAGTTAACAAAAACATACGCACACATAAAGCACAGTAAGTTATATGAAATCACCTTCGGCAGAAGCTTGTCTTTGTTGCATTTATTTATGTGACACTACATTAGAAGCAACCCGTTATTTTTCCTCCAGTTAAATTCTCTGTTAATTGAACGTGCATCTGCTGCGTTTGAGGTGCATGATAGAGTTGGTGACGCAAGACCGGTAACATAGCAACACACCAGCAGGGGCGGGAGGCGTCTACTGCAATCGTTTTTGCTGTGCCGATCTACAGTTTTTCATCAAATGCGTATCGGACGTTGAATCCAGAATAAAAAAGCGCACAAACGGCTAAAATATCAACCGTAGTATTAGCTCTGCTGATAAACAGTACCTTTACGCCATTACTGCCGTCGTTGTGCAAGCGAGCACTAAAGGAAAGAAGAAGAGATTGTCTCATGATTCGGAAAATGTTTCTTCGCGGAAACCCTGTCGGAGGAGAAGGCGCGAACTACCCTGCCTTTTCGATATGCGTTAGTTATAAGATAAAACACTATCTGCTAAAGATATCGATTCTACAGTGCAGGAAGGAATTACCTTGCCAACAGCAGTATGCTACTTCCGTATGGTTATGAGGACGGTTAAGCATCGGCTCGAAGATGAGCACCGTCATGCATACTGCTTCCAGCACAGCTTGTCTTCGATCGCCCGGCCTCTTATCGTTTCTACTGGTGCAAGTATTTCAGCAACTGTGCACAAATACCCGGTGAAGATTGCGTTTTTCTGGCAGCTGGCTACCCGGACTCTGTTTACAACATGGACGGCAAAGAGAAATATTAGGTAGACGGTATCTTTTCATTCATGTTCGAAATGCGCAGACCGCTTCTGTCCGTCAGAAAACGTATGTATTGATAAAACCTAACGCCACCTGGTCCGAATTGATAGCGATCAGAGAATGGCGTTGACGATTTCTGCCTTCTACTGTTTCTTTTTTTTAGAGAATTTCAATGATGAAGCATCCGATTGTGATTGTTTGACTAGATTTACGTGACACAAAGGTTATCCTTAGGCTCCAAGCGGGCGATTGTAATACCATCATTTTGAAACAGATAAGCTGTTCTTGTCTGTTGAATAACTTTCCCTTCGCCAGTTGGAAGTTTAGCTTAGGCTCAAAAACGATGCGTTCTATTGTTTCGCTAGAGAAAAAGTGTAAATGATATTATAATGATGTTAATAACATCTCTAGCTGAAAAATTTATTTGCACAATTACCCTAAACCAAACACACGAAAAATTCTCCGTATAGTCGCCATACATATTACTGCAAACCCGATAAACTAAGCATGTCGTGATAGGATAAATATAAACAGCACTTAGAAGGGGTAATTGCTTGAACATTGACGTTAAGCGTAATCTGTTACATGCGGTTGTGTAGGAATTACATATGTGTATATATATATCGATGACTTTCTGAAGCATCACCACTAGTACCGATTTGATCGAGGAAGGACGCCGTGCGCGGTTTTCTGTTCGACATTTCGCGTTGATGTACGACCCCCTGTAGCTTCGTCAGCCTGGTACTGCCCCACTCATAAGTGGCAATAATGACAGTTACCGTACTAGCAACTGCACCTCGGATTAAGAATCTCGTGACAAATCGACGCACGGTTTTTGTTGCTGCGCTCGGTCCCGATCAGCTGCCTACCGCTACGTTACCGCACAGCAAACATTGTAGAGCTGGACAAACCGTGTTTCGCGTATCGGCAAATCTTACTGATGAGATGTGCTAATATAGCGACCACGACGTTTTCGTTTTGTCGCCAATAGGTGCGACTGGTCAAGCCAATGACGTCTGCGTATAGTTGGGGCATACCCTTGGTATCGTGCAGTCATTATGGTTGCTGGTATTTTTCGGTAGTAAATGAATGCATTTTGACATTATGCGCCCATCACAGGACCAGCAGCATTAATGACAACAGAAGCGTAACACTGCGACGCAACAGCATCTACTACGACTAGTTTTATAATGCCGTCTACTATTGCAGCTACCGCTAGTCTAGCAGCCTATCCGCCGCTTACACAGCACGGGCTGCCCTGGAGGGTTCATTGGTTGACTGTTATTCGCTGATTGTGTGCGATACTTTCGGTGGATCGTTAATCGCCTGTCTGGGTGCTGCACGCTTGCTTCTGACCACAGACTCCAGAAGCCGGTGCAGAAGCCAACGGGTCAACAAAAGTTAATAAGAGCCAGGAACTCCACCGCCCGTAGACTAGTCAGCTCCAACCGCATATCAAGCAGACATTAAACGACCACTGAATGCCGCCAGTACCGCTATTTGCAGGAGCATTAGGGCTTTTGTAAATGGCAGAAGGCCCAGTGTATGAACCCGACGTTGTTGAGCAGCTCTGCACAGTCTCCATGCTGCCAGCGTCTAACGGTTGCGACGGTGGTCGCTTCCCCTGCGTTCGCGCACTACGCGACGCTGCCGTTGATGTCCGTGGTGGTATTGCACAATAAGTCGGCCCAGCCACGTCTTTCGAGCGCACACCGCCATCGGCGCACCGCTGAACAGCCGACTGATGGGCCAGTCCGCGTACCAGGCACCAAATCGGTGGCGGCAACGGTGCTCGTGGTATTAGTGGTAATAGAGGAGTCTGAAGCCGAAGCCAGTCGACATCCAACAGAACGATACTGCCGCTGCTGGGATTACCACATACAGAACAAGTCAAGGTAGTTGGCGTAGGCGCCACCAGCATCAGCGGGCAAATGATGCTGATGCTGTCGTTGTCCAAGCAGAAATTCAGCGGTCGCCCTCTGATGTTCGCGGGGTTATTGCATCCAATACCGATATCGCAGCTGCTGGCGGCGTAAAAAGTAAATTACCGAAGAAACTGTAATCCGACGGCGCCTGCTATGGCCATTGTGGCAGTGATATTTGTATTTGTAGATAAATCTACAGAAACGTGCTAGGAGCAAGTGGATTAGACGAGGGCGTCATAGACACGACGGTGACGACGAAAGACTAAGGGTTGTCTGTCAGCGTCGAGTGAGCTTTATCTATGTTGCAACAGAAGGTCGTCTTGCCGGAAGCTAGAGAGGTCATTCTCTGTGGCATTCTGCCATTACTCTGACTACTGACGAGAGATCACGGCTAGAGCAAATCAGCATACGCGATTGTCACCGTTGCGGGTAACATCACTCGCGTGTCCAATGTTCGAATTTCACTTGAAATAGAAATAGTGGTATCGAGCGGTCCTGTATGTAGAGGGAGCTGTGGGTAATGATAACGATATTCAGCAACCCGTTATGCCCTACAACAGTCAGATTAGACAGGCGGATTGTCCATACGTTCTCGACGTTCGTGAAGTTTGAAGGTTATCGATTCGGATAGAGATACTCAACGATATAAACTATTAGATCTAGAATGTAGTTGCCAAATGATGGCATTGGGTAGAATGCACTCTAGACTGACTCGTTGTCCTATAATTTCTTTCTCATTCTGCCATTCGACTATGACCTACTGAGACAACTAAAAGCCACTTACCGTATTGCATATCCAACGAGGCAAGTTCAGTATTCTTTACTTATCCAAAATTGACGAAACTAATTTATCGAAAGATTAGCTACTATATAACTTTTTCACAGAGATACGACGTGCAAAATCAAAAATGGTCCTTGGCGTGAAATCCAATTATTGGAAAGCGCACAAAAACCACGAAAACAACGAACACAACTCTACGACGTCTAAATCGTAGAAGACCGATCTAATTTTGTTCTGCTGACGCAAATACGTGATCTTATCCACTAGGCGCCTAGTAACGTGTCGTCAACACCTCAACCCCAGGGGCTGATTTGAGTAGGGGCAAACAATCCTATTGCATTGCTCTCGGTTCGAGGTTCATTGACAGTCATCATATTTGTGAGCAAGTGACCGTGTCATTGAAGAAAATCCCACTATTCCGTTCGATGCACAACTATACGAAAGATCTGGCCTTGCGAGTCGTTCCAAAGAAGTGCTGCCGGGCGCACAACGATCTCCTCAAGCCACTGCAGGCTCACTTCGGAACCACGTGGAGACGGACACTATTTTTCAAATGACAATTGACGCGCTAATTATACACATGCAAACAACACGGGCCCACGAACATAAACAAGCAATCGCATGTTGTTTTGTAACAAATCTACCATCTAATACACTATAAATCGCTCGCCCTGTATAGATATACAGGCATTTGGGCGCTATGTCGGCGCCCGCGCAACAACATTAGCGCAATGATACGAGCTGCTTCTGGAGACGAAACACTGTCGCTGGCCGCGCTAATGCCACTCTATACACAACAACGAAAACACTTTGGACTACTTTTACTGATGCTGGCACACGACGAAACATTGAGTATTCCCTCGATCTGCAGTGCTTCGCGTGCCGTAAAACCGGCTTGTGCAGGGGCAGCTCGTGTGACGATGGCCGCGGCGACGGCCGCAGCGACTTCAGGCGGGTAGTGACACCAACTAAGGCAACAGCGCGAGGCGAAGGCTACAATCATCGTTCTTTCTTAGATGCCGCCGCGGCTATATGTGAGGAGTAGGCGAACACTCACGGGACAATCAGACAGCCAATCAGATGACGAAGGCGCAAAAGGCAGCGACCGAGCCAGCTACAGTAGGAGCAAACATGTAGCTGCCGGGAAGGGGGGCAACAAGCAAACTGTCTGCCGCACCGTGAACACGTTGGTTACCACAAGACGGCCTCTAAAGCTGTGTTAGGAACTGATGCTGTTTGCCGGCGAACGCCACCAGCGGATATGACAACGCCAAGTTCAACCACAGAAGAAATGGATATCTGACTGCTTTGGCTGGCGGCATATCTCGTTGGCTTGTCGCTCATCGCCACCTCCAGCAGGGAAGGGGGTTCTGCTAATATTTTGACTCGTATATCGGCGATTGATTGAGGAGAAGGCTCGAATCGAACGATCGTGCCTATGACGCGGTGGCGTCCAAAAGACCCACAGAAAATGCTTCTACGAAGTTGGCGAGCGAGCATACTTCTGTGAGGCTATCGCTCACCAGCGTAGCCAGGAATCTCTTCTTAAGTTCGCTATGAGGCTCGTCTACGCGAACACATACCAGTAATAATAGTGATGACCACCATTTCTGTTAGTCACTGAAGAGTGCGTTCTGGAAGCTCACGAAAAACTGACATTTCTGCTTGGTGCGTTGGGTAGCTAGCTAGTGGGAAGGCATCGTTGAAAGCATTAAGTTACTTGAAGCACCTATTTACGGGCCGGTTACGTATTTTTGATAGAGCAAGTTTCATCATCGTCATTATCGGCGAAAAAGGTCACTTGACCTATGACTAAGTTAAATTAAATACGATTTTTTTTATGCACAATAGTTTGAGCTAGTGGCGCGCACAGTCGTGATGCGCCCAACTCAAAAGGCCAGATCGGGGGCGCTGTTGTGAGGGGTCGGCAGAACAGCATCAATGGACAGTGGCACAGATAAGACCCCTAAACAAAACTGAGCTGTTATACATTGAATATAAATGTACCTAATGCAGCAAATAGCAAAATTTTCTTTTCGGTGATACCTTATTTTCAATGTGTGCTAATTCGGATTTTGCAGTCACTAGATACTGCTCTGTTCCTAAATGTCTTTCAAAGGTGAATAATGAAAGAATCCAGTACATGTTTCCATATATTAAAACATCAACCGGGATAACAAACGAGCTATGGCCAGCTTCGTATGCGTACTCGCGTTGGAGTGCTGAAACCATAGGTCAAGCAAGACCATCATAAGCATGTTCCGATGCGTAGCGAACATAATGTGGTAAATACGGCTTTCGTAATAACTGCATTAGCTAGAAGAGGCAAAGATATCAGGAACGATGGCTTTCATCAGGCCTTTGCTCATAAAGCTAAAATCTTTCACCTGTGAAAGTTCTTAAGGAACTACTTAGCTTCGTTACAAATACAGAAGTAAACACACTGGTACGTAGGCAGAATTTCATATGCAGGACTCAATCAATAGCAGTTTAGATGCTTTTCTCTGAGCTGCTATTGCGCACGTTTATTCGCTAACTTACTGTAAAACACCGTATTTTTATTTTCTGGGTCTCGCTTGCAACACAGTTCTAATCAAAATGGGTTTTTCTCTTCTTCTAATACATGTATGTCCAGTTCTGAGAGGTGTTGCTGGGTCCAGCTAAATTTGCAAACACTATGACTCGCATATTTGTTCATCGAACTGCCGATTTCACAAAGAACAGAGTTTATTATCAGCTCTCCTGCGTGAAGGGTCAAACCCCAAGGCGTCTCTCGCAAGTGACCATCGCGAACAAGAGCAAAACGTTAGTGTTAGATTCTGGAAAGCTTTAAGGAGATCGCCAGCCGGGTTAGAAAGAAACAAGCTCTACCACGATTGTCCTCTCAATTGGAAGATTTAGAATAGGGCGTAGCGGCCTCAGTTGGTGAAGAAATTTTGTACTCTACATAATGAAAACGTCCCTTAGTATCCAACAAGCCAATATATAAAAGTGCAGGTTACGCTCGTCATTAATATACTATCAATGATCGTTTCAAAGAAGGGACGTTTCAACTCAGTTTATGGCAGTATCAGAAGGGTAACTTATGATCGATTAACATCGATCGTGGCAAGTTCGTCGCCGTTCATGCTCATGAACTTGTTTTTTTCGCATTCACGAGTTTCTTTATCTGCAGACAGACAAAGACAGTACAATTATTAGTTATTAGTATTATGGTATGAAATCTGTGGCTAGCAAAGGGTTCTTTATCTGTATTTTTTAACAAGCCGGGGTTGAATGGGTGTCCATTACAGCCTAAGACGTCGTTATGACCAACACTCCGGGGCAATTCCTCACCATCCGCAAATATAGCTATTTAGCAACATAACCACCGCATTTGGACATCAATGCAGCGGATCGGTGAGAGTCGGCGCAAAAAGTCGCCTCGATTACTGTGACAGATACCAGAATCGTTTCATGTCGGTGTTTCAACCTATGACAAGATTCGTTCTGGCGGAAAATTGCACCGTTATCACTCCTTCTCGGCTCTACAAACAGCTCAAATCAATGGTACCATTTTACCTGGCTGCCGGAACCACGTGAGCCATCTGTTGCTCATCAGACATCATCGCAGCAAGTACCGCTGTCGTGACGATGAAGAAATTCAAAAGCTGTGAAGTTCTAACTCGGAGACAGGCGTATCAATTAATAGAAAGCGTCGGGACCATTCGGTCGTAGGTATTACGTCATTGTTTGCCGACGGTAAATGCTCGTCGATCATTTGTTGCAATTATACGGTTTTGGATTTGAGACTTACTTTTAATTGTAATAGTACGTACACTAGAGCATCCGCCACAAACAAATCTGATCGTTGACAAAAATGGTTGAAAGAAGCTAACCAAATAGAACTTTCAAGGGATTCTATAAAAGATGCCTCTTGTATTGATTAGAAGACCTGAGATAGAAGGTTTATATGTGTATTTATTTAGTGACGATTTACGCAAGTACCCGCCTTTCATTGGATCATAGGTAGCTCGATCAGACATCGCGATTCTGTTGTTGATGCTGTTTTGCTCAGCTATGAATTTACTAACGAGTACGATACTATTCGGCTGTTGCTCGAAGTTGACTGATATGCGTTCTTCAGGTTTTTTGTTTATTTAGTACATGTTGAACAGATACATTACATCGAAAACAAAAACAAAGACTCAACTCGTCTCAGAATGGATCTTGAGTACCTCGTCCGTTGCGCGTTGATGCCGGCGGCGTAGAACGAAACGAGCACCAAATTGTCATCATTTCCAACGCTTTGTTGAAACGTATCAGTACGATGGTTATATACCTGGATAAATTCTATCAGACCAAGGAGACAAACATAGTAGTATAATCTTATCAGTCTAGCCTGGACTAAATGATAGAACGCATTCCTGTCTCTATAAACGCGTTTCACGACGTTTTATGCTTACGGTAAAACCGGCTGCATGTAGTTGAGCCATGTGCGAAGTATGACATGTTGCAACATGAAGCTACTGTTGTGTGGTGCTAGAAAGATAATTGGGTACGTTCTTAGCTGAAAGGGAAGAAATCATCGTTAATAAGGACTATTACAGAAAGAACACATGCGTCACCTACAGATTGATTATAGGAATGAGTGACACATGGTCACACTTATGACGCTGCTAAGTAAATAAACTCATTGATTTCGAGTGTGAGTTGTAATAAACTATTAAACTTCTCAGAGCCGATTGAAAACCACTCAGGTGCGAGGTAATGCTGCTTGTAAAATGTTTATGGACAACTTGATCTACACCGAAACATCTACACCGAAATCAACTTCTGAGCTATGGAGCGTTGTCTTAGTCCTCGATGACTTTAGTCAGCTAGAACGCCTTTAGTAATTCGACTGTTGGAGCGACAAATGGGTTCTGGGCCTTTTGACAATAGGCAACGATGCTAGACAACCTTGTTCGAGAGAGAAGGAATGCCCTTTCGTTTTTCGTCACTATAGACGGGAATATGGGTTGACACCGTACAACGTCCGAATCGCTGTTTGCGTTGGGTATGAGCAAATGTTCTTCGAAATCTCGAGTATCGGACTTAGAACCGGATTTTAGCATAAGAGCCCACGGTTACATCTTGCATTTGTTGACTGCTATTAAGCTCGAGGACCAGTATAACAAACAAAAACAGAGACATTAGAATATGTTGATTTCCATAACTACTAATAACGTCAGGTATTTAGTTGTAAACATTGGGCGGCGTTTTAAAACCGGCAGTAAAATTACGCCGTGGCTGCGTGGGGGGGAGTGGTAAAGGAAGACGTAACAGCAAGACAACAAGCGTGATTCATTACCTTATATAGCATGCTTACCTTTCGGGCCACGTACTGACTTCCTGAAGTTTTTTTGACAGCTCTAAAGGGATGCCGTCAAAAAAGGAAGTTCTAGTTTTGAAGTATTAACAATGTGACAAAAATGCCTTTTGTTAACGGAAAATGTTCTAGGCCACTTCGACGGACTTACCTGTTCAGCTAACCTGATAAAACATGCTAGTAACACCGCTCCAATCGAGTTAAAACATCTTTCGCGCCATTTTATATATATCTAGTGTTAATCAGGGTCAAAAGTTGCGATATTATGAGCATAAATATTCACAGAGAAATAGATATTCAGTAGATTATGCTGCCTCTGCCGACGAAGCTCTGAAGCGACGAAGAATGAATCTGCTTGACACCTAGGGTAGTTGTTTTGCCCATCGGGCAGAAGTTCAACAATGAGGGCTTTGTTCGCAAAGGCTCCTTATGGATCCTGCAAGTATATACCAATGTGTTTAAATCGTTTATAAGAAAGTCTTAAACGCGAAGGATGCCTCTATATATTCTAATGTATGTGCTCTAAATTAGACATAGCAAATATATAACGAGAATCATCTGTTTAGAATGGAAAATCTAAAACACACGAATGCGGTAGCCAGTGGCATACCAACTTCACCTCTGTCCTGCATTTAAAAATCTTCCCATGCTAAATTTCACGTTTGTGCGTGTGCAAACAGATACCTATATAATATATACATATATAGAAAATAAGTAATCAAAATTCAATGAACGCTCCAGCTTGACTGGTATCCTAGAAGAACTTAGCACTTGACGTGTTTGGCAACGGACGGCAGGTTTTAATAACTTGCCGATACGGATGTTTACGTGCCCAGTTTCATTTTGTAAGCAACTCGTATCTATAAGTTGAATACATAACGACTAAAACATGTATAACACTATTCGTAAAGGTAGTTCGTAAAAGTAGTCAATACATAAGCTATAAAGACTGTCCAGATAGTGTCTCAGTGGACTTTTAGCAATAAATATTTGCTGGGCCTTAGCAGCTGCAATCTTAGCAACAGCGGAAGTTACGCCCGTGTGAGACGGGCCAGTCGACATATTCTAGAGCTATTCTATTTTCTCCTCTTTTGCCATTGTCCGCCTTGTTGTGCAGCAACATCATCATTGTCACAGTCTACTATCTACAACGAACGTACATGGACGTGGTCTCCATGTTAAAATCAAATTAAAACGGTGTCTCTAGATATGTGCTTGCTCGGCCATCAGAGTACCCATCCGTATGTGTCTTTCAGGTTATCACAATGACAAACGTGTTCGCGTGCATGAATGCGGCATCCACGAAGATTGTACGATTTGGGCGTAAATTTAACATTGTGAATGCTGGCGGGGTGGAACTGTCAAGTTATATGTTATGTGTCGTAAGTTAATTGTAATTATAGCGTTAACGAAATACAATGCAAATACGATCAGCAGCAAACCAGACGTATCGCGAGAAATCGTACCGAAATTTTTTCAAGTTGTCAAACTTAATCATCAATTCGAGCAATGATTGTTACTACATCTAGTAGATTAATGCACGTTATCGTTAACTTGCGTTAGTTTTAATCTTACGTTTTTTTCGCGCGTAGCTAAAGTAAATAATTTGGGTAAAGAAATTGTATTGAAAGAATCGTCGTACACGGCATTGTTCCACGTGATACGCTCATTGAAACGGTCGTTAAACGATAGTAACTGTGCAGATTAAATAGACCCATCAACCCATTTGTTATGCGCTATTGTATACAATGGATGCATAAGACACAACATATATGTCAGGGCTAAATTTCCCTAGTCATTGTTAGTTCATTCAGTCATTCTATGAATACGCTAGAAAAACATAGACGAAACATTTTTTCAGCAGATCCTTAGTTAATGAATAGTTGATAATTCGTTAATAGTTAATAAATAATAACAGTCGAAAACCCTTGGCATCTTTCGCTAAAGCTATTCTCAGAAAATCGGCAATGCGTACGTGTTCGTGCAGCAGAATTGGATGTGTCTTAAAAAAAAAACTAGGTGCGTTTATATAATGGTTATATAAGAAGAGTTCGTTAATAATAGAGAAAATGATTGATAATCCCGATCGTGAGAATGATTGATGGCCACATACCAACAACGGATAAGTGTACCTGAATGACAATCATCGTTTATCTGACAGCCTAACCTATTTTTCTTTATGATAGATATACGCTATTCTTCCTGTTAGCCTAGACGTACGCCCAGACCTGCCAGACTTAACATCGCCGTCACAGTTTAAGCATGGATTTATGTCTTTTAACTGTGGAGTGTATACGTATATATAATCCACTGCGATAGATTCTATAAGCTAGGTTGATCTACGCAGCTGTTTGAAAATGCACAGTAATAGTCCCTCGCGTATATATAGGTTTTAAGATACGCTGATGTTTTTCTTATTTATTATGTTAGAGAGAAAAGCACCGAAACAAATCTAGTAATGCAGGATTTTCGGAGAAATTGACGAAATACCACCAAAATCCATAATGCATTAAGAGTATATTTTCTGCCTGCATAAAATATCAGTTTTCTTCGAACCGTCCAAAAGGAAACCAACACTTAAACAGCTTTCTACTATACTTAGCAAATACTTACAGTACAAGAGGTTCGTCTGATTGACAACGATAGAACGTCGTAACATCGAGGCCTTCTAATGCGTCGCAATCAGCTCCGTATATGTTTTTGTTTAACCTTACATAATCGAAATGCGTTACTCGTAAGACTAACGAACTTGCCAACTATTCTTAGCACGAAATATATCCATGACACGGTCTTATACGGTACGTATTTAGCCCTAGGCGATATGTGTAGCTCGTTAAAATATCAGACACTCAATTGCTGCATCTGCCGGTTATTTCCTCCTAGAATATATTCTACTTTATCTATTTATTTATAGCTAAATGAAGACACACTCCGAATGCATATTGGCTCATTTGCGATAGCTAAAATCTATTTGCTTCACTTGGGTTTACATGGTTTATACAAGTCGTGTATAGAGGGGACTTCGGGCAATCACAATCCCGTGTTCATCGATTGACGCAAATACACCATTGTGGCACGAACGACAACAATCCAAATGGAAAAATGTATTATGTGTACTAAGTAACGAAGTCAACATATGACTGAGTTGGAGAAAACCTAATTTTAGGATAGCAGTAATCACAAATTGGGCCAAATTTTTCTTAACGGTTCTATGTAAATTTTCGCTTTCAATAATCGTTTTTACATTTTCGACATCTTACACCCTTTCATCAAAACCCAGCTACTAAACTCTACATCTCCATGAACTTCCCTTATTTAGCACGTAAAACGCAACGTCTGTGCCTTTTATGTGCGTTGTATCAACTATGAAGACAGTTGTTACGTGCTATATTGTTTTCGTGTTAACGAATAGACATGTCAGTTGGGTGTTGTAGTTTCTCTGAAGTCATTCCGAATCGACGAGGACGCGTCCATACCGATGAATACATTTTGTGACTTGTCTTGGACTTATTAAAATCCAAGTTACATTTTTATGTTGATTAGTCTTTAGATAGATTTTAGTTACACGCTAGGAAACAACGTATCACTAACAGGAGAAATAGATGAAGACAGGCGCACCCCGAAGCGCCTCCTCTCCTGGCAGGCTGCTTTTTCGCTTCAGAATCTGAATTCGAGTGGTAAATGGAAATACAATACATGAAAGGACTGAGGATACATGAAAACTATTCTCCGATACTGTTTCGTTGGCTGCACGCATGTGTACACGTGCATGCTGGCCCTTTCATCCCCTTCGACCGATCGACCACCTAGGAACCCACATGTGGCCCATCCCTTGGTGAGACAAACTATCTTGCCAATACATGCCGTAAGCGAGCACCGTAGTTTTTTAGGTAATCAACCCGCGTCAAACGAAGACGAAGAAGAAAATTATATATTCGGCTGATTATTTCCGAAGGTGACAAACATTAATGATAGCAGCTCCGATAAATGGCCATGCACGGCCCATTTCCATCCTTTCTAGCAAGGTTGACCTCAAAAAACCAGTTAAGACCACTCTCGCCATAAAGGACGCCATCTGTCTGCTAATATTCACTGCAGTTGACTGGTGGAAACAAAATTATGGCATATGCGCAAGGTCGACAGTACAAGAGATAAAGCGATTATTCTGTAGTGTTGCAAAACCTGGCGCTTAAGAACAGCACATAGGAATAGCAGATCCTATTTTTCGCATTTCCGGAGGGTGGCAAGGTACACTGGCGACCTTTAAAGGATGGGCTGGCCTATGGACGGCAATTGCATGTTCATTTATCAGGAATGAAGATGCCAGTTTGTCCTAAACAAACAGCTATATAGGCTTTTGTAGCACTGATTACTTTTTCGTACAGGATACGAGTTCACACAGATGAACCGAATTATGTTTCGGTACAACCGATTGGCTTGCCATCGACGTAATTGCAAAAACACATTAAAACTCCGAAAGACCCTCGTACTTCCAAATGACTGACCTATTTTTTTTATAGTAGATGTTTTTAATGAAATTCGTAGAAGCTACGATAACATCCTACTGGGGTACAAGATCGATATTTACTGTCACCTCTTTGTTGATTTTACCGTATTTTTTTCCAATACGCTACTTCTAATATTTTCATCGTTCGTGAACAGCAACGTCCTATAAGCTTTTTAGTTCATTCTGTCTAGTTAAGTAAAAACCTTGCCATCCACTTATTGGGCCATAAAAACAGTGCTGCTGTAATACTCATACTATCCTACCATCTTTTTATATAATGGTATTTCATTGTTTATTTATTATGAGCTGACGCTTGACGTGCTGTCTTTGAAATAGTGGTATTTTTGAGAATAATTACTCCCTTCCAAACATGTTCCATTATCATCTTTGGCCTAACCCAAAACACAGACGTGGCCTTTTAAGACAGTCCAGGTTACAAACACCGTCATCGTCATCTATCGTAAAATGTAGCTTTACGATTAGCTAGACGACTTGTTGGGTTTGTTAGACTGCATTAATCACCAAATAGCAGACGACATTATATTCTGTCCTACGCTGTTATCCGTATTTAGTTATAATTTTATTACCATATAAAACCATACCATAAAATCATCCACCTAACCACAAAGTCGTGTTTTTGATGATAGCCCTATATATGACCCGTCTTGCCCGTTCCTTAACTGTTTAAAGGCTCCTGTAGTAGAGTCTTCGGGCTCGGCGATTATGCAGTTTCTTTCCGTTTTTGCCCTCGATCTGTGGTACACCTAGTGGTCACGACAGCTTTGGTTATCTTCATTATGGTAATACGCAACAAACAGGAACAAACGATTAGCAGCCGGACCCAGTCTTTTACTTCTCTGCGATGGTGCTTGTCATATGATGGCATAATATTATTACGGAATGTTAGGTTCAGCCGCCTTCCATAGGGCACGAGCCTACTTCATACCAGCTTGCCATGGCTTGATTCTAGTTCTTGTTTACACAGAAATATATTGTATAAAGGATAGCAATTAGCATTTAGCAGATAACATTGTCGCCAAATAAACTTGTCCCCCATAACTCCGCAGGTAGAGTCTTGTCGACTAAGAGTTTAAGGTGCGAAGGCACTGAAAAGTTAGACTTGGGTTTTCAAAAGAAAATGAAAAGTTTTTTCCTTTTTGTCCGTTTTCGACCTTCGCGCCAATGTGATCGTTTGTTCGACATAGGACTTTTTTCCGCTACCTCGACGGTCCATTTCCGACATCCGGATGCATCGCGAATACATAAACAAAATTATATACAGAGTTGTTAAATACTTGCTATAGGGGTTGGCAGGGCTGGGACTTTGCAGCGAGCATTTCCGCCAACGAAAGGAAAACGGACGCAATCCTTCTCAAGAAAAATCGTTCATGAGTGGAGCCGCCAATCAGCTTATTCATTAGATATTTAAACATCTTAGGACCTATGCTTTCGATGTTTTGTAATCATTTTTACTGAACAAGTCCCTCCCTTTGCTCGGAAGCGTTGCTTACCCAGTCCACTCAAGACGTCTTACTTTTCACCCCGTTAATAAGTTAGAATACTGAATTTATCGTCCATTATTATTCATATATTTGTCGGATAAAGTATTACAGTAATAGTACTAATATTAGCATCAGCTCTCGATTCTTCAGCTGATATATATATATATATATATATATATATATATATATATAGTCCTATTTTTATATATGTACTATTCAAAACGTGTAAGCAAAATAACTCCGTTTGCGGCCACAGCGCACAATGATCAGATGTTGATTAGCAGCAATAGTACATATTATAGAGTAATACATTAAGATCTTGCTGCGACGGTACTGCTAAACCCCATTTACAATCTTTGCGGTTACCAACAGTTTCCGCTGAGCGAACTCACTTCGTCAATCTAACTGGCTTCATCGTCATCGCTTCAAGCCGTTGTTACTTTCGTGGTTGTTTGTCGATGCATTAAACGTAGTATGTACTTTGTGTGTATGTGCGTGTATATATATATATATATATATATATATATGTGTATTTATGCATGTGTGTATGTGTGCATCTGCGCACGTAACGTTATATATATCTGTGTGTATATAGCTTACTACAATTAACATAGCAAGCCAATATATTACCACAAATTATATAAGCAGACTTTTGAATCATTTCATTAGCCATCATTCCATCCCCTCGTTCCCCCAGTTTTGTTCGGGCATCCGTGTGTCTCATCTGTTCCATTATGGTAGTGCTGTTTCAGTGTGGAGGAACAAGAGATTTCCCAGTATTGTACAGTTTTACAAAAATACAAAATAACGATTTGTTCTACCGCCTATCTCCTCTTTGTGTCTGTAGCTTTCCTTGTAAACCGTCCTGTATTTCATAGTAAACGTTTGAATTTGTGAAGTTTTCCGTTCTAAATGTCATATTTCGCGCTATTGTCATCTTGTTTTCACCCGCTTCGTTTGTCCAGTCACTTTTTCAATCGACGCCGAAACAACAACGGAACGTACGTAGACGTCCACGTTTTTGTTTTTAAATTTTGCCGCGTTAGTTGTGCACGACGCCGAGCATACTATAGTTTTCCTATTGTGTTGGTTGATGCTGTGACCGCGGGGGAGAAAAACGCTGCTGAAAACTGGGAAGAGGGCGTGACTGTCTGCTAGGTTAGCTTCGAGCGTACGTCTGACGGGTCACTGGTTGATATGCAAATCGCCACGTGTAGGTGGCGCTGCAATTTCAGCCTCGACTCGCTAACTGACTTCTGCTGCTGCTGATGTTATTGTTGTTGCTCTTGTTGTTTTTGCTGTTATTGTTGTGTTCTTGTTATTGTTGCTGCCGTTCATTGTTGCAGTGCAGATCTGGTACAAATTGTCACGCATGCGATATCATATCTGCTATTTCACACATGTACTGTCTTGTCGTCAGAATTCCTGGCCTGTCTGTTGTAGGCGTAACGCAGTGCTTGGCTAGATGTTTTTGAACATGTGTACTACTCGGCCAACACCTTCGATAACGAATACGTCTCCGGTCCGGTTGAAGCCCTGCCGCTTGTATACGACTTCGGCGGTGCATCTAGCCACGCACCAAACCATACGACCTGAAATGCAATAGCAACCGCGAAGATTCAGCTCACGATCATCATTTTTACTAGTGAATATATGTACATATTAAGGTATTCCTTTAAATGGGTCGAATTAGCTTTTACAAATCTAGATTCCTATGATACGAGCACTTCTGCTGCACCATGAAGTCCTTACAATCTCAGTATGCCAAGGTCCAGTTATGACAGTATATCCCTGCGTTTCCGCTGTTAAAAGTTAGACAAAAACTAACCGAATTGTCATATGAAGGTAAGCATCGGAGTGATTTGAATTATCTGTTACGAATAGCATTCCAAAGCATCTTGAGCTAAAATTTAAAAGAAAAAGTAGACTTACTAGGCTTCTTGCTTGCTTAGCATAGAAATAATTGAGAATATACTGACTCAGTAATTAAAAAGGCATCGAGCAGGCTTGATCAAAGGACATGTCGGTAACAGGTAGACGTATGATCCATTAGGACACACCGCTACCAGATTGCCAGGAGGCTAGATCTCGTCAACGGCTGTCGGCCCTAAACGCGCTGGTCTAGAGTAGTATGGCATAGGCTTAGGAGTTGAGAGTTGACTTATGCACTACCATAGTACCATGTATTTATTATCTAACAAAAAGGTAAACACTGAAAGTCTGAATATTTCTCGACATATTACATATTTATCACATAATCATTTAGAAGCAAATAGAAAATAGTGCGTGTGGGCACCCTCAAGCTGTTCAAACGAGCTTTAATGAAATTAGTCAGAACGCCAATATTTTACCTCCTCGCTCTTTAGAGCACCGGATACATGCTTCAATTAGTTTGGTTCCGAGTCCCTTGCTTCGCATTTTCGCAGCCACGGCGAAGCCCCGAATGCGCCACTGGGTGTTCCCCGCCGGCGTCGGGAAGTGCACCGCCGGAGCTTCGTCAGCTTTTACCTCACCGAAATCCTCCTGTAAACGGGCACGGATGAAAGCGAAGTCGTAGAAGAGAAGGCACGCCACAGGCCGTGCTAGGCACCAGAGATACCATGAAGATGAGTCATGCCATCATCCTAACGCTGTCACGTTTGAAAGCAGGAATGGAGAATCCAGAACACGAATTAAATAAATAGTGTTTATCTGGGTCGGAGTTGTGGGTTATCAGCGGGTCTAAACAGATCTAATCTGATCGATGAGTCGTCTTGTGCGATGTCCTTTTTTTCTTTAATCCAAAAAAACATTTCTACAGTCTATACCAGACTCGTGTACTATGATTACCTAAGAAAAAACGTGCATGAATGCGCACGTACATGCAAATTAGTGAAAATTCTGTTAAATCCAGCTAGTTAAAGGTGTCTTGGCGTTGTGCGATTTTACTAATGCGCACTTTCCAAAAGTATGGGTCACCTTTTGATTATAAATGCATTATCGAAAATCGCACTAAAACACTGCTCTATGTGAACTAGGCGAAGGGAATCTGCCCCTCTATCACTGTTATAGATACTTAAGTCCGATTCGTCTTTTCGCTAGGTTGGAAATACCTTTATATATGCCCCGTTACTCGAAACCTTATCTGTAATCGTTTAGAACGAAGCCATATCCTGTTACGTTCATTAGCACTTGCCTGCTTGCTACCCTTGCGTGCGGCGAGCTTCGTGCAATCCTCGTTTACGCATCATTTCTGATATTCAGGAAAAAAGTCAGATGCCGGGATGAGGTTCTCAGCTCTGATTTTTTACTGCTACTACTATATACGATATACTGGCTTTGAAATTCTGCCCAGATGGGAGTCCATTTGGATAGATCCATCCACTTTCATTTCAACGCTGTTATGTATTAAATTTTGTATCTACGTATGTATTTACGACGGATAAATATGGCCACCACCCTTAATGAACGTCGCCACCCTTAATTAGCACATGGCAAATCTTGTTTCTACTAACATTACATCTTGTGTTTAAGATAAGCATGCTTGACGTGCGTAACCAACTCTGCCAGGATTCACTGAACATTTAGCTGCTTCTTATTCGTCGTCTTTCATTCATTTTTTCAGCAGATCGCTTTCAAAGCACAAAATTATAGTCGAATTTTATAGTTTTACCGCATTTTTTCGTCATAAAAGCACTCTTCCTCTCCAACAAGCCACGCCATAATTTCGTTTCCTCTATGGCCGCCCTTTGAACTTCGAAAGGTCCAGCCTGTCTGCCATGCGACGACAGAAGGATTCCCAATCATTGTGTTATCTCATTGGCGGCTCTTCCGTACCAGAAGGCATTTAGCAAACTATTCTATTTCGTAGGCCTACTACTACTACTACGACAGTTGCTCTTTGTCTGCGTACATACAGTCTAATGTGAAAGATTCAAGAAGAACCGTCCTAACGCGGATAATAGGTTACAACATATTACACACTTTTCTAGGGAGAAGAATCTTTCTGGCGGTAATAGAAGTTAAACTGTCCTCCAAGAAATGTCAGCTGAAAACATGTTTCTTCAGACAAATCCCAATCGACAGCCAGTCACTTCACAATTCTCCATTCCTTAGTGTGGTACTTATGAATACGTTCGGCGCACGTTTATGTGCAAACATTTGAGGCAAAGTACGTATGTATAACGCACATGTAAAACGCAAAAATGGTGTCTGTTTTAGATTTTTTCTTGACAATCCAGTCGTATGCTGCCTGTCGACCGTTGGGCCGACAATACCCTTAAAAATGTAATGTCGAGTTCCATGAATGGGGTGATGTGAGGCCTTATCATGGAGAAAATAAGCGATAGCTATATAAAGATATGCTCAATATTAGAACTATGTATATGTAGAGCTATTTCGATACAGAATTGCTTTTAATAGGCTGCAATGGAAAAAGCAGTTTAAGCGAAACATTCGTGTAAATGTGTCGATGCCCACACACAATGTAGCAATGACGTCGTGTTATTTAGGAGTTAATTCAATGTATATTTCGTCACTAGAAACACGCGCCTAATCCCTAGACACTCCGTAAACGAGCAGGCTGTTGTCACACTGCGATTTATCCAATTATCACATTGTGTTATTAGTTTAAAAAGCTGATATATATATTGTAGTGAAAAATCAGGCGCGAAATAGGAAGACTTGTTTGTTTTTGGCTCAAATTAAGCCGTTCTGGTACTATATTGTATTGAGAGCCCTCGGCTTTTTGGACCTACATGCCGAATATAGCTATGACGCAACATCTACTGAGACGCTCACGCTCACCAATTATATAAATATAAACAAGTGTACTTCCTGATACGTGAAACGGTAAATAATTACCCTAGCTTCAACACCATTCAAACGATCGTAGCCAACTGACAGGTGCCAACTCGCGCTATAATGGGCCGGTGCTACTCAAACCTCTATATCAGTGCAGAATTGCAGTACGCCAACCATTGATACCTCTTAAATGTGTGAATCTTGATAGGCTGTAAATAGAAGGATGAAAAAAGGCTATTCTACGGAGGGGTAAATAAATAAGCTGATAGCCACTGAAAGGCATCGCGTTTTTTGCAGACTGTAGCAGTCGCTTCGTTAAATATCTACCTACGCTGAAAACGTGTGTGAAAATCGAGCCCTCGATCGATGAGTACATAGAATCGCTGTAACGTACTTCCAGTTAACTTCGTCTGTCGAACGCCGAGCAATCAACAAAGTGGGGTAAAACGGCCCATTTTATTATCAAGATATAACAGCGTCTATCACTAAAAAGCGATATTATATGATACGGTAACAAAACGCATACAGACAGCAGCATGATTTACTTGTAGGCTATGTCCTAGTTGTTGCCAGGGCAATTAGACTGGTCATTGCCTTAGCCACAGTTAGGATAAAAAAGAAAGCACTGGGTTAGTTGATATGCAAGGTAACATTTACATACAGGAAACATGGTGCCCATTTATAATGGCTGTACTGAACGCTACAATTATATCTGTCTGTTCGCCTGAAAATTGGGGGCAATAAATTATGCCTATCTCTCCAAAATCAAGGGTGACTAACCTGGAAGAGTGAAATGACTCCCACTAGCTCATTGGCGACAAAGGCTCCGAGATGAATCGATGTTTCGTTGTGATCACCCTCGTAAAAGACGACTTCTAAGTCAGGTCGGAGTACTTCACGTCGTAGCGGACATGTGTCTTCGTAATTGATCTGACGGATCTACAGCATATAATATTGTTAACTAAAATATCGACATCTTGTTTGGTGTGATCGCTGGTGTACGTTAATTTCCAATTATAATGCAGAATGACAGATGTAATTAGTAACTACCTACAGCGTACGGCATCTGAATTGGGACAAAGTTCGATCGTAACGGGCATGAGTTCATTCGGCGCCTTCGTTATAAGACGAACATCAGTTTCTACAAGAAGCATTGCCAACCAACAATGCGTTAGTTTCCGAACCCGGGCAAATATCAGCTACTACCATCTCTACGTGCTACATCAACGCCCATCGGAGATTATAAACGTTTCCCTGTTGACATTGTATCGCGTCGCCAATCGTATGTAATGCATGCCGTTGTAGAAGCACATTTCAACACGGCACAGCGAAAAATCCGCGACAAAGTCAGCCGCTGGCGTCGAAAAATGCATTTTAAATTGTCTCGATCCAGACGTTAGTGAAACAACGTACGGCGCAAATTGTTCACGAAAAATTCCGACATACAGCAGACTGACAGTCTTTTTCCTCTGAAGATACATTTTTCTATAGTCGATGTAAAAACGAATTCGTCCATGTGCTGCGTGTGGTGCCCAGTGCCATAGTTTTTTCAGGAAGGTAAACGCTCGACGACAACAACAATTAATCCACATGTTCTACAAGCTGTTGTGTAATCGGAAGTGCCTGAAAGAAAACTCTTTCACACGACGGTGTATCGGTTTAGACAAGCCGATGGGTCCGGGGTTGGCTGCTCGGGAGCTACGTTAGAATGAGCACAGGTGACCGTCACGTGGACCACATTTGGCCTGTCGTATTACTATGTATCGAACGTTATTGAGCAGAAGTCCAACATGACAACGCTCGACTTGCTCGCCAGTGTTTTTTCAAGGCGCTCGCAAGATGGCAACAGGTCTGCGAGTGATTTAGCGCCCCAACTGAAGCTGTAGTCGCGCTCGGTTGTGAATACACATTCCAAAAAAATCGATTTAGATACAGTCTTAGAAACGAAACTTCCAAAGTGCCGTCTTCTGTACGTACGCGTACAGGAGACGGCACCTTTTTTTACTGAATTTAACTGACTTTTTTTAAAAAAATTCGTTACACAGCACAGTCTTGCCCATATCTAAGGTGATATTTGTTGTTTCCAGCTCTTGAAAGCGAAATAGTTCTCCTTTTCGTGTTTATGTCCGAGTTGTATAGATGATTCACAAAGGAAGCAAAAACAGTTTGGCTCGCGATAACAACGGATGTGTTTACAGTAGGTAGGACATTGTCACTGAACACGAAAATTGTCACATCGAAATCCTATGCAGTCGGTTAGGAAAGAGACTACTGAAGTAGCCATTGTTGTGGAATGAACAGGAAAAACTGCACGTTTCCTTTTAGCTAGCAATGTATTAATAATTATGCAGACAAAGGCAGAGACCGTAAGAATGGTAGCGTATCAGATAGTTAGAATCTAGCACTCACTCCCGTGATTCTCCGCTATAGCTTCTGGGAACATTGTTTTTTTCCATGCATCGGCAGACGAACAAGTTGTCGAGCGTGCTAAAACAACAGCCATCTTGTCGACCGTCGGACCCCAATTGAACGAAACTGATTGATTTCAGTGTCATGAAGTGTTTCTAAAGCTATATACATAAGATTGTACTGCATTTTTTCCCCGTGTATTAACTGCTGTTTTACGTATAGGACGATCACGGTTATGAGTATGCTTGCGTCGTTTCGTTCAGGGTGCCAAGGATACGAACTCAAGACTCATTATCATAACCTACAAATGATTTTACCTGCATTTTCTAATAAAAGGAATAGATTTGTGAAGTACTAGTGATAAAATTGTCGACGACAAGATACGCCAATAATTCGAAAGAAGTCGTAGCATGTACAAAATGATTAGCCATTAGGCTAAAATTCTCCAATAAACGAGCAAGTCTGACGCCGTGATGAGCTGCAGCGCAATGCATATATGGCGTCGAAAAAATCTATTCTAGGTTAAGGGGGGGAGTACTTTTTCAGCAGTGACTGCTATACAGTCTCTGTTCATTGGAATATGTAAGACAAAGCGACTCGCTACAACTACTGCGTCGAGGAGAACCAACAAATAACCAAACAGTAGGCATTAATATATTGAGCTAGACCAATGCATCGTTATCATTACTGCTAGGATTCAAAGGCTAACCTACGCATCTGCTTGTTAATGGGGGAAAAAGCATGAACAAGAACAAATCCAAATGATCCTGAAGTGTTATTAAGACGGCAAGAATCAAAACTGACCACAACGTCGATGGATTCAACGGCTAACGGTTGCGTTGGCTCCTGAAGTTTGACGTTTTCATCTGACGGGGCCATCAGACCTGCAATAAGTACATTGAGCAAAATATAAAAATTTAGATATTTGGCTGATCTTCAATGAATAGTTGTACTGTTTTTGTCTTTACACCCAGACCTTTTTCACTAGCTACTTCATGCTAGCGTTTCTGTATTTCGTGCGTTCTAGTGAAGCTTTTTCCAGGTAGCTTAATGTAATATCCGATGATTTTATATGCATCATGTAATTAACTTTCAAATAAGTTAGGTTATTAGAGCGAACAAACCTTTGCCGCGTTATAGCTTTACTCAAGTCATGAGAAAAATGAGAAGAATACAAAATTTCAGTTCCATAAAAGGATAGCTGATTGTAAAATCTGTACTTTGTCCTTCTATAGGAGGGGAGAGACTGGCGTAGACTAAAAGCTGAAGTGCTTGTACGATAAGACGACATAAGCGATGATATAACCCAGGCCAGATTTTTGAAGATGAAAGAACCAATGAATAAATTCAGCAGGGAAGAACCCTAAAAAAAAAAAAAAGAATGTCTAGTTTCAGTGATTAATCTGTTTTCGAATCACGTTACACTTTGTCGGGCAGTAGCACATTTTCTGAAGATCGCCGCAGAGGCCCATTCCGGGACACAAAACACACACGAGAATCATATTGTCCATATGTAGGGGGCGGAAGTTGGCAATAATATCTTCAATGGCACTCGAGACACTTCTGAAAGATTTTCTTTGGAAATAAATGCGATGCTTTCTTGCTGCAGTCTCTTCTGTAATGGTGCTCAGCGTAAAGCTGCTTCCTTGTCCAGCGGCTGTCGATGGGACAGGCTTACTGCCACTGGTCACAAGTTTTGCGAAGTCCCTTTTATTTGTACTAACGGAAGTTGTTCTATCCTGTAGGTTCCGGCGGTACATCAATACAACGTTGTTTTTTAGAAAAGCGCGCTGGCTGCTCTCGCCAAAAATTTGCCAGCTCTCTTATAGTCGGTGCTCGCGTACGGGTAAGTGCATATCGATATTGTTGATTACCGATTACCAGCTGTCTGCGCCTTAATGCCAATCGTCAGGCTCTTTGCGGTCCTTTGTAACTCCTCTGCCGCTATTGGGTCTAGGCATAGTCTAGGCATGTATTTTTGCTGACAAATAAGCACACAAGTATTGTTCACACCGCACATTGCTGCCGTCGCATTGCCAAACAAAGGGCATAAAGATAACCTCCTTGCAGCTGCTGACCATGGAGAACCCGTCTGAGCGAGAACCCTGTGCGCGCCTCTTTAGACAAACAGCGTTTTCGCTGCAAGGGGTGATAACAGTCACAGCAGTCGTAGGGAGCACCGTTCCGATACACGCAGGACGAATATGCGTTTTTGTCTGCGTATCGATGTTTGCATAAATGTCTCTCTGTAGCCACTTCTCGCTGTGTGTGCGCGTACGTGTGTATGTGTGTAAATTACTAAACTACAACAAACGGAACAAGGCTAACGCTGAGGAATAGGTGAAGCAACCCGACAGACGAAGCAAAGGCAATAACCCGTGCGGGTATTGCCCGTCTAGTTGTAATCTATTATAACCACTATCAGGAGCGCCACCTTTCGGCAAGAACAGAAAAGTAAACATTTCTTTCGCATGGCACTGCGTTGGTGGCCTCGTCGCTTGATTGTATCGGTTCATCATCATCATCATCATCCGCACCGTACAACAATCATCAAGAGAGCTGAAAGAATGTACGTGAGAATCCGTGCCTTTAACTAGTATCTCTATTTGTTGCATTGACTTCGCCCGTCAAACTGGGTTTGACCTATTTCAACTTAACACAACTACTGTTGATACGGGATCAAAGACTGCGTCGTGTATTCCACGATTGCTCTCTGCAAATATGGGGACGCTATGCATATTTTTGCTCAGGTTTGACACATTCGATACTTATTTTCCATATATTGCTGAGCTTTCACTGTTCTATAGGGCAGCGAACAAAAATCTCGGCTTATTTGGGTACCAACTCCCAAGCGCAATCCATTAAACGGTCCTCCTGAAGACGGGACACTCTGTGAAGGCGAAGGAGCATCAACTTTTCTTACCCGCGTGATTCGACAGTGCGCCTAAATGATGACAATAAGTGACCACGAAACAGCAGCCACATTGGCTTCCGTTCCTCAAGGTCGTAGACCCATCCGAGTTCGGTGCAATATCTATCGACATGTCCCTAAAAACACTATTCTTTCTTTCCGCTTGCGGTCTCTACGCCCCCTATTTCATTACGCTCACATGAGTTAGGCCTTCGACAGTTAACTGTATATATTTGTGCGCTACAGTAGGTATTAGATATCTAGAGTAAATATCGATTTTTTTTTTTTAACGCCATCTACATAAGAAATACGCGCTTCGGACTATTATGAACGCGTGGGGTTGGCTCCATACGTGGTGACTGTCCGGTAATAAGGAAACGGTATTTTAGTGAAGCGCTATCTTTTTCGATTTATAGCATGGTTCAGAATGCTTCGATCCCATCGATGGCCATATTTTTTTAGAATACCATAAGAAAGCATACGAAAAATTGAAACAAACGAAATATGTATGCCATTGTATGGTGCTATACAGGGAATCTCCCTGCGTGAAGGTGAGGAATAGATCTAAGGCTAAACATAAGTCTAACACTATAGGCGTTCTAATAAAATTGATTTTTGCTTGTAACGGTTTCTGTTGCTGTCTCACCATACAAAGGGGTCTTGCATTATATTATAACAACCACAGATGTCATATAATGCAAATTCAAGAGATCTGGTATCATCGTGTATAAATTTATCCACACACGCCATCACAACCGTTTGTCTTTTTCTAATAAAGAAACGTTGCTTGTTTGGGCTTACGGGGCGGCTACCAGTCCAAAGCGCATAGATATTATGTGCAGTTTTTAAGCTAACTAAAAACAGCCTAAGATCGTCCGATTGTCCTGCTCTCATGTTCGATTGTTTTTTTCTTTCTGCGGGAAACCGTAAAATACTTCTAGACTTTCAGAACAAGATCACATTCAAGATTGTTCGCAACCAGCGGACGCGGGTCACAGCCGCGAAACGCATTATGTAAGTCGTGTACACGGAAAAAAAAATTGTTGGGGCAGGTGGAATCATTGCAGATTTCCACAATCGACCACGCGGCAGCTACACGACCCAAGCGGTGTGATCCCCCCCACACACACACACCGTATCTCATTGACAGCACGTTTTACGTTTAGAGCGTAGAGGCCGATATTTAGAAACGATAACAACAATGGCCAGAGCAAAAAACAAATAACTATATATTGGATTTCTGTTAGCTCGGACTCAGGGCCGTGTTTTGCAAAACACAATGTTGCTTAGATACTTCTACGAATTGGCAATAGCAGCTGGTCTGCTAACATGGATGAACGTCTACGTAGAAACAATTAGGGCTAATTGTAATCATTAAGTATTTTGATTGTTTGATTAAGTGTTTGAAGAAGAACCCTTCTCATTGTGTTTATATGTTCGAAAAATATATGGTTTCATAGTGTTTATCATTACTAATACAGTACTACTGACATTATGGCATATATTAGGCCAGATGAGCATATTATTTTTTATATCCGGAAGCGGGAAGCCTGCCAGTAGTTGCCACCAAAATTCAGGCATTCGCAAAAAAACATTAAGGCTTATTGTTAACAAATTAACCCTATAACGAAATACTATTGACCATTGCTGGCCACTTACAATGTAGGAAACGGAAATTAGAAATGGACTAATTCTATATAAGAATGATAAACACATTGACCGTTCGATCGTTATTTCTGCTGTAAGTCACATTTGTAATAATGTACCTATTTGTACCGCTATAATATATTATAGCTAATTTTCTTGCAATCTAGCATGTATCAATAGTAGCATAGACTTCAGTTCACTTAAAAGAAATCCGAATCTCTTAATGTTAACCATCCTGCAAGAAGTATTTTACCGCAAGACGAGTCATGAAACAATTTACCGAGAGCAAGACTTCTGATTCCGGCAGTTGATTGCTGGCAAGAAATATAAATTGGGTTAATAACTCATCACGGGCTCGATAAGAAGCCGTAATCATCGTACCCAAACGGCCTATCGCAGTCATCCATATGTCAACGCAATACGATGATCTGAACAATTTGGTCGTTTCGTGATTCGTTTTAAGAATGATTATCTAAGACAGTGAGTTATGAAGCAGGGATGCTGAAAATACGTATCGTGGGGAGCATGTTTTGTTAGATACCAAGTAAACCGATAGGCTGATATATATATAACCTTTCCGTAGACTGCAATTATCATAGCAGTTTTAGCCGTTCTCTATTATTCGAGATGCTGTTCCCTAGGTTGTGCGCATCGCCGCCTTTCCTTCCTTCACGCAACATAGGCCGCCTAGACGGTTTCGTTATTGGCGCTTTCGGACCCAACTGGCAAGTCGCGAAAAGCTTAGTGAACTGAATCGTCTCATTTTACCATCTTCATCTAAGACTGTCATGACAACAGCGTCAACGACAAAACAAGATGGAAGGTCGACGAACGTTCATCGTTGACCCAGGTCTGGCTTTCTCAGACCTCTCTCATTTGGCCACAGTCCACATGAGGAATAAGAAAGCATTCTAGTGAACGAGAAAGCCTTAGTTTCTTTACTAATTTCCGTCGGAGTGACGTGATCCACGTATGGCGTGCTTTGATAACCTTTTCGTGCTACTTTTTACGAAATAGTGCATGGAAAGCCGACCTTCGAAGAGATGGAAGCTGCTCGCTCGCCTAACTAGAAATCCGCTGCTTTATTTTTTCGAAGCACAGCCGTTTCGGATGCGGCTGCACAAGCGGTATATGATTACACGAATGCCTATAAACTAGGAGTTCGCGTTCAAAAAGGATTACTGGAAATAAAATCGTACAAACTAAGTTTACGTAACGTAAAGTTTCAAAACCTGTTGTGAAATAGAATGCTGCTCAAGTTGATAACATTTAGAAAATTTTATTTAGATGGTGGAGTTGCGTTTCACTTTGTTCCATCTAGCAAACTTGAAGGAAATGCTTATGAAAGCGGAACAAGCAATCTATTGTATTAATCAAAATGCACCTATCCTTTATTTCCGCGTCTGTTTTTAGCTCTGGCAATCTATAGGCAATCATTGCTCCCTAGCCTGATACCACGTCCTACGGCTTTCCTATTTTCCTGAAATGGGCACAATTAAACTTGTGTTTGTTTCGAGCAGAGAAATCCACAGATGTTTAAGCCTTCAAGTAGACCTGGCCGATCCAACCAACAAATGAACCTAGGCACAATCCTACTATATATTTCGAAACGAGTTCCTGTTACAAAGGTATCTCATAAAACCTACTCTCAATGCTTTCTTCGGCTACGACGTCTTGAAACTCTAAAAGTAGGAGAAAAATACAATGATAGTCGAGTAGTATTCCGGTGACACTTCTGCAATACTGGATATTCTTTAAACGACTGTGATATTCGCATGGTGCGTACTTTCATACGAAGCGAAAAGGATAACCCCACTAATAGATCGACGAGTATGGATTATGCATGGACAACTCTGTAGATCGATGCATGTATATATTTCTTTCGTTGGGGGAACTTATACTACGTCCTTATCAAGGCCTTAAGTACAGTACATAAAACAGGTTCCGCGCGCGAAAATTTAACCTCTTGGGAATTATACGGTGCAAATACTGAGAGATAGCATTTTAGTTATGAACAACGGCTTTCATTAATGTGTATACAGGATGAACGGATACATACGGAATGATGCGTCTTGAACTGAAAACAAAAGCGCAAAAGTGCCTCTATTGCAGAATAAGTATGATTTGTCGCCCACGAATCGTGGGTCGAAGTCGCGAAACCGGTCATCGATGTGGTGCCTTTGGTGGTTGTCCTTTCAACCCGATAGGATTAAGTTATGAAGTATAAAAACTACGACTGCTAACGAAAGCCAGCTCATTATGATCGATACGTAGACGAGTGAGAGCAGCACAAAAAATGCTTCACACGCACCGAATTATAATCGCGACACATCGGCTAGAATTTCTTTATGGATTACAGACAGAATTGTGTATTGCACTCAAACACTTTACCTGCAGCTTTTTTGCCTCGATCAAAGTCTAACTTAACTATCCTTCATCATATCATTAATTATCCTCTCAGTGTTTTTTCCTCAAATAATTTCTGTCACAATCAGCCAATCTTATAAAAATCGATCATATCATCCGTCAGGAGTAACTCACGAAGGGATGGCTATTGATTTGCATTCCGCCGCAAATATTATACATGGTTGTTGTAATAGTTAAAGGCAAAAGTTCAGCCCAAGCAAGTGTATAGACTAATATATCCCACATTATTAGGCATCTAAGGCAAACCGTGTGAGCTTTCAATATGCTGTTAACATTGCCCATTAATGATAGATACTTGCAATGCTAGCGAAGCATAGGTTACGCCTGGGAGTCGGCCATTACTCTATAAACAAAGAGTTGGCCAAAAACAAAGCGATACGAATTACGTACTAACGCCAGTAGCGAGTTGTTCTAGAGGCTTTGTCGTGGGATTTGCAGGCGCCTAACAACAGCTGCGTTTGCATCCTTCAACAGCAAAATAGGTCAACTGGCTTAACAGGCCACATGAAACAACGCGTTGATACTATTTTAGTCAGGAAAATTGTCTGAAGACGCACAGATCGTGAGGGGGCTGGCCGTGGTACCAATCATGTTATGACCATAGAACGGTCGGGTCTGTCATTTAGAGAAACCATTGCTTACCGTAGCAAAGAAACACGATTCACTCATTCGCGTTTCCATTTCTCTTGCGAAGCAGAAGTAGTATCGTGAAATAGTGACACCAGTGGACTGCCTTCCAATTGAATAGCCGCTCAATATGTCCTGTTAATGGCAACACGTGGAACTCTAGCGGTGTTATTAAACCTACTTTCAACGCAAAAGCCCTCTGTGACTCTCTAGAACTGTTCAGTGATATCAGCTAGAACATATGTATGTGAATAGCTTGCTAATTGTTCAGCGTCCATTCCGTGTGACCCTGAATTCCTGATACATGAGGATGCATGCAGGTAATGTCATCACCCGACGACTGGGGTGAGCGACAAATTGTCGTGTTATATCGATAGTCGTTAACGGGAAATACGTACAGTGGAACAAGCATATACTTGTCACAACTTCTTAAAAACAACTCAGTCCTCAAAAGTTGGATAGCTTTCATATATATGCGTGTAAGCAAAAGCGTCACATTCAGAAGATAGAGCCTAAGCTACGTAATTTTTT